TATTTTTTTCGAACTCTTCAGAATTTTTCAGACGTTTTCAGTTTTTTTTTTGGCAAGGATAGCAACTTTTAGGAGTAGCCCTTTGAGGAGTATCCCAGGGCTCTTTAATGATAATGGCGGTGTTTTGAGGGATTTTTCACCATGAAACATAGTGATTTAAAGGATTTTACCATGAAACATGGTGATTTGAATGATTTTTCACCATGAAATCCAAGGGATTTGCCACCATGAAACATTGTTATTTAAAGGATTTGTTTGACCATGAAACATTGTTATTTAAAGGGGTTGCTTGACCATGAAACATTGTTATGTAAAGGGGCTGTTTGGCCATGAAATATTGTTATTTAAAGATATTTAAAGGGGTTGTTTGGCCATGACACATTGTTATTTAAAGAGGCAGTTTGGCCATGAAACATTGTTATTTAAAGGGGCTGTTTGGCCATGAAACAGTGTTATTTAAAGGGGTTGTTTGGCCATGAAACATTGTTATTTAAAGGGGTTCTTTGGCCATGAAACATTGTTATTTAAAGGGGTTGCTTGACCATGAAACATTGTTATTTAAAGGGGTTGTTTGACCATGAAATATTGTTATTTAAAGGGGTTGTTTGACCGTGAAACAGTGTTATTTAAAGGGGATGTTTGACCATGAAACAGTGTTATTTAAAGGGGTTGCTTGACCATGGCACATTGTTATTTAAAAGGGTTGTTTGGCCATGAAACATTGTTATTTAAAGGGGTTGTCTGACCATGAAACAGTGTTATTTAAAGGGGTTGCTTGACCATGAAACATTGTTATTTAAAGGGGTTGCTTGACCATGACGCATTGTTATTTAAAGGGGCTGCTTGACCATGAAACATTGTTATTTAAAGGGGTTGTGTGACCATGAAATATTGTTATTTAACGGGGTTGTTTGACCATGAAATATTGTTATTTAAAGGAGTTGTTTGGCCATAACAGTGTTATTTAAAGGGGTTGCTTGACCATGAAACAGTGTTATTTAGAGGGGTTGCTTGACCATGACACACTGTTATTTAAAGGGGTTGTTTGACCATGAAACATTGCTATTTAAAGGGATTGTTTGGCCATGAAATATTGTTATTTAAAGGGGTTGCTTGACCATGACACATTGTTATTTAAAGGGGTTGTTTGACCATGAAACAATGTTTTTGGCCATGAAACATTGTTATTTAAAGGGGCTGTTTGGCCATGAAACATTGTTATTTAAAGGGGTTGATTGACCATGACACATTGTTATTTAACGGGTTTGCTTGACCATGAAACATTGTTATTTAAAGGGGTTGTTTGACCATGAAATATTGTTATTTAAAGGGGTTGCTTGACCATGACACATTGTTATTTAAAGGGGCTGTTTCGCCATGAAACATTGTTACTTAAAGGGGCTGTTTGGCCATGAAACATTGTTATTTAAAGGGGCTGTTTGGCCATGAAACAGTGTTATTTAAAGGTTTGTTTGACCATGACGCATTGTTATTTAAAGGGGTTGCTTGACCATGAAAGATTGTTATTTAAAGGGGTTGTTTGGCCATGAAACATTGTTATTTAAAGGGGTTGTTTGACCATGACACATTGTTATTTAAAGGTGTTGTTTGACCATGAAACATTGTTATTTAAAGGGGTTGCCTGACCATGACACATTGTTATTTAAAGGGGTTGTTTGACCATGAAACATTGTTATTTAAAGGGGTTGTCTGACCATGAAACAGTGTTATTTAAAGGGGTTGCTTGACCATGGCACATTGTTATTTAACGGGGTTGCTTGACCATGAAACATTGTTATTTAAAGGGGTTGTTTGGCCATGAAACATTGTTATTTAAAGGGGATGCTTGGCCATGAAACATTGTTATTTAAAGGGGCTGTTTGGCCATGAAACATTGTTATTTAAAGGGGTTGTTTGACCATGAAATATTGTTATTTAAAGGGGTTGCTTGACCGTGAAACAGTGTTATTTAAAGGGGATGTTTGACCATGAAACAGTGTTATTTAAAGGGGTTGTTTGACCGTGAAACATTTATTGACAGGGATTTGCGACCATGAACAATACGTATCTAGCAATGCAACATGATGGTGAAACCCGTGAAATATGGAAAATTATGCCGGAATTATGTTGTTTTTTGCAATGAACACTTGTGGTTTGACCCAAACATGAAATTCAAGCATTAAACATTGATTTTTTTGTATCAACAAATTGAATTCATCTATAGAACATTGGGATTTAATCTGATTCAACCGCTGAAAAATGCAACACGGTAATGAATCAGTGATTATATGGGGATTTAATTTGGATGTCAGAGGATAATGATGGGATTCAAAATGGCATATATGCGTACATGCATACACACATATGAATATAAATATAGATATAAATATACGTACATCTATACTCAATTATACACACACACACATATATATATATATATCAACAACAACATTGCGATTTTGGTTCTGCCCCTTCTTTTAGATGCTGTAGCGTTCTCAAATGGAAAATGACGATGAACCATTGGATATGGAGGTAGCCACTGCTGAAACATGGGATGATGGGGGGCCCTGTTGCTGATCAGTAAATCCAACACATATCGTTGTTCCATTTACCCTCTGGTAAACTAACATAACTATGGAAAATCACCATGTTTAATGGAACAACTTACTGTACATGGCCATTCTCAATAGCTATGTTAAATTACCAGAGGGTAAATCGCAACTTTGCGGCATGCCGGATATGAGACAAACTCACATACTACTACATGGAGCAGCGGTGTTGAAGATGGAAGTCAGTATATAAAGATGGAATTATTGTGCTGCAGGGTGTGATCCCCATATGTTTGGAAATGCAACGTATATAATACCAGCCATTGTCATTACTTGTTTAAGTCTTAAGGGCAAGCAAATCATCATGTGGTGTTCTGCTCTATACTAAAATGGTCTGATTTTGGATGATTGGGGGGGTGCCCCCATGACTTCGGAAACCTACATGTGTCATGCATTTTCACGTGTTTTATCTTGGACATGTGCCCTCTGGCGGTAGATCATCTACAAATGGACAATCATCTGGCAAACTGTTATCACAAACCTGTTAGTTTCTGTGAAATTGAAGGTTTGGCTGACGTTTTTGCATCCCCAAATCCAGGTATCCCAAAAGTTGTTGATGCAATTCAGACATGATCAAGTATATCGTCAGTATATGCATCAGAACTGATCAAGTCAAGTCACCTCTTGGTATCCCATGATGCTGATCAATGTCCAGGGTTTCAATCCGTTGATAATCTGAGTTCTATAGTTTTTTTACTTACTGTTTTACTTCCATATTAAAGCAAATGAAGTACGTATGTCCCGTGGATTTTGACATGACAACTTCCCATATATGTTCAATCACCTGAGGTTGATCAATGTCCAGTATATCCAAGCCTCCTCGTTAGCCTTTGCAGCCCTGCGTTCGAACGGCACAGTGGTGACCTGGGGCACGCCTCATGCTGGGGGAGACAGCGCAGCTGTTCAGGATCAGCTGAGGGATGTGATGCTGGGAATGCACGGGGAAGATGTGGCCCGTGGTCATTCATAAGGGTTTATAGGTATTTGTAGGGTTTTTTAAAGGGTATTAAAGACTTATAGGTATTTATTTGGATTTAAAGGGAGTTATAGGGATGTATAGAGAGAGAGAGAGAGATTGAGATATTTAAAAGATCACAGGGATTGGGAGGGATTTATAAAGTTTTCTACAAACTTATTGAAATTTTGATTGATGTAACCGTCAAAATCTTCCAGTCACAGTGGATTTATATTGATAATCATTGGATAGTAATTGTGTGTAAAGCAATGTTGTCAGCTACCCATATGGACTGATGGTTGGGAACGCACCCATAACCATGGTAAATTTGCGAATGGTTTACTATTTCTTTATTAACCTTGCCATTCATTTTCAGTGTCATTCATTATTTTACCATTTGCACTGCCATTCATAATAATCGAACATTCCCCTTTTGTAATTTAACATAGCTATGGAAGCCATGGAAAAATAGTTCGATGATTTACCTTTGAAAAGTGGTGATGTTCCATTGCTATGTTTAATTACCAGAGGATATAAGAACATTTAACCTCCCAAAGAAATGGTTTTGGCGCTTGGGGAGGAGCCTATAAGAGTTGTGTTTGTCGGTTTGCAAGCCCATTGAACATCATGTAACTATAGATCGTCTCTCTCTCTCGTCTCTCTCTCGTCTCTCTCTCTCTCTCGCTGTATACAGTATATATATATATATGCATATGTATGTATATGTGTGTATGTAAATATGTATAAATAAATATATATATATATGTACTGTAAGTGTGTCTGTCTATATTTACATACATACATACATACATACATACATACATACATACATACATACATACATACATACATACATATGTTTATATATATATATGCACATGCGTTTGTGTGTGTTCTAGGTCAGCCCATTTGCTGTTGGCGGTTTCAAACCAACTTTGGGACGGTCCCGTCGATCAAGATCCCGACTTGGAGGATTCAATGGATAGAACAAAACATAACAAAACATTGGAAGACCCACATATATATCCAGTAGAATGGGTCTTAGAACCATATGGGTAACTAATATTATATGGTAATATCTGGGTACATAACTAGTATATTACTGGTAGCTATTGGTTCGACATATATATTACCATTTAGAATCCCATAGTTTCCAGTAGATTGGCTGTGCCCACCCTCTGGGGCTACTTCGTCGAACGAAACTTGTCATTGAGACAATGCTGCCAGAAGCGATTGTCAATCAGCAATGTCATGTATCGTTTGTCTCAAACTCCAGTTGCTATTATTATTCTCATCCTCAACAAAATCCTCATCATTGCGAAACAAAAATCACGGAGTTCGTCCAAAATGTCGTAATCCCCGGTGGTGCTGGAGTTTTAAATCGCTAAGTTGGTTGAGAAATGTGAATGTTAAGGTTTAAAGAGCTGATTTATTGTAGATGTAGATGTATCATGATATCATTATATCATGAGATAGCATCGATATTTATAATAGTTATAGTTTTCATTGGTTTTCTGAAGATTTCTAAAATTTCATAGATCATTAAAGCACCATGTAGACCCTCCCGGGGCAATGGAAACTCCAAGGACCGCCATCCAAGCTTCCCGCCACGGCGCGCGCGGCTCCTTCGCGGCCCTACGTGCAGATGGCTCGGTCATCACCTGGGGTGACCCGGGCTCTGGGGGCCACAGCACCTTGGTCGAGGGGAAAATCATGGTCTGGGGATTGTTATTGACCCAGGATTTTTTTCGGGGAAAATTGTGGAAAATCATTTGGGAATATATATATATATATATATATCATAATATAATATTGAAATCCCTTTCTGAACAACGCCCCCAAGAGCAAGAATTGTTGTTCATAGTGGTTGAAGCCACATATTTGAGACCATAGAATGGTGCAACTAATTGAGGGATGGGATTTGAACCTACATTGTTGATTATAAAATGTATTGATTATGGGGAATGATGAGATTTATTGATTTTGCATGTGTAGAAAAAATCTGGAGATGGGTGAGGTGTCCTTTAATTACCATCTGAGTGCATGTGTGTATCTATCTATCTATCTATCTTTCTATCTATCTATCTATCTATCTAACTATATATCTATCTATCTATCTATCTATCTATCTATCTATCTATCTATCGATCTTTCTATCTATCTATCTATCTTATCTTATCTTATCTTATCTTCTCTTATCTATCCTATCTATCCTATCTATCCTATCTATCTTATCTATCCTATCTATCCTATCTATCCTATCTATCCTATCTATCCTATCTATCTAATCTATCTAATCTATCTAATCTATCTAACTATCTAATCTATCTAATCTATCTAATCTATCTAACTATCTAATCTATCTAATCTATCTAATCTATCTAATCTATCTGATCTATCTGATCTATCTATCTATCTAACCTATCTAATCTATCTATCTATCTATCTATCTTTCTTATCTATCCTATTTACCCTATCTATCCTATCTATCCTATCTATCCTATCTATCTAACCTATCTATCTATCTATCTATCTTTCTATCTATCTATCTATCTATCTATCTATATGCATATGTACATTTTTATATATATATATATATGCATATGTACACACATATATATATATATATAGAGTTTGTGTATATATATATATATGTGTTATGTATATATATATATATATGTGTGTGTGTGTATTCAATTTTACGCCACTCATCGAGTAGAGCCAACCCCAGATTCATTTCCTTTTTTTGGTATAGGCGTTTATTTGTTTGGTTTATCCCTAGCATCAACAATCATCAATCACTATACAACATTTCTCCTAAGTCGACAGTACCGCTTTTTTCAGGGATCATCCCAATCCTCAATGGATCATTCATAGTATATGGCCGACTTGCAGATGTTTTGTCGAGGAAGAAACCGTGGATTTTACTGATCTCATAGTAATTTTCCCGTTTACATATCCCATTTAAATATCCGAATCTAAGCCACAGCAACTCCAGTAAAGTAATCAATGGCCAAGCATGGCCCGATTCAGATGTTCTATTTATTTTTCAGGTCAGATGGTGCAGCACCAGCTCCATGACGTCCAACAGATTCAGAGTGCGGAGCACGCTTTTGCGGCGATTCGCTCGGACGGGCGCGTGGTGACCTGGGGCAATGGACCCTCGGCGATGGTGAAAACAGCCAGCACTGTATATTTTGAAGGTGGCAAACCCTGCCCGAAACCATAGATAGATAGATAGATAGATAATCCCTTCCTCCTAATACTAAACCCCCCCCCCCTAATACAAAACACGGCAGGTAGTTTTTAGTATTAGGGGGGTATTTATTATTAGGGAACCAAATCGAAGTCATGTTAATTAATTAATTAAATTTCCTTATATAACGCAATAAAAAAATTGCCAAAAATGGCAGTTCGAAGCTTACCCCTAATACTAAATTAAAACCCTTAATACTAAAAACTATTTTTTCCGATCTCAAAATCAATTAAATTTCTTTATATAACGCAATTAAAATATTGCCAAAAATGGCAGTTCGAAGCTTACCCCTAATACTAAATTAAAACCCTTAATACTAAAAACTATTTTTTCCGATCTCAAAATCAATTAAATTTCCTTATATAACGCAATTAAAATATTGCCAAAAATGGCAGTTAGAAGCTTACCCCTAATTGCTAGAGTAGCTAGGCAGCTTGGAGTGAGGGATTGGGACTAGGCCCCCCTAATACTAAACACCCCGGGGTGAACTAGTTTTTAGTATTAGGGGGGAGAACCCACAAATGGTAGGTTGATTTTTAAATTGTTTTTTAAAGGGGATCAATTAAAAGTCAAATTGGCCAAACTGAAATTTTCGGAAATTGGAGATGGATGCCTGTTTTTAGTATTAGGGGGACGTTTAGTATTAGGAGGAAGGGATTAGATAGATAGATAGATAGATAGATATTTACTTCATAAACCAAACTAATGGAGTTTAACCATATAGATATGTAATTACCTCTTTTCATCAGGATTCACCATACATATAGTATTAATCATAGATATATCATTAACCTATATGATCCTTTATGTAGATCGACCATAGATAGGTTAGCCAAAGATATTTGCCAGTAGTTGATATACCATACATCAACCGTAGATACATTTTTTGCCGTACATATACATACATATATGTTTACATGATGTGGGTAAAAAAACAACCCAATCATAAACCATCCCCTGCGATCCACTGAGTAAGGTCGAAGCGGGTCGCAAGTGATCCACTGAACCGGGAAGTGATATGGCTACCATTCACACCACACATTTCTGCTAAAGTCAGGATGGTTTATGATTGGGTTTGCCACAGTGTTTGGAATAATGTCAAGCCGTCTAATACTTTACAAAGGCATTTCAAGGCCGCAAAAAAAGGTTGTTCAGGTGAAACCCGAATAGATGAATTTGTGTTTTGTGATATCAGAGGGGCCGCCCATTTGCCTTTAATTATTGTTCACAATTTTGGGATTAAGTGTTTAATCCGGACCCAAACAAGTGTTTGCGAATATTGCCTGGGTAGGTGCCATGATGGTCAAATACAGCCAAGACGGCTTGAAACCCTTGGTTGGTGACAGCAAAAGGTTCGAAAATGGTGGATTATTTACAACTTGGCTGTCTTGTGGGTAGGGCCCCAGCCGCCAACCATGGAACTTAAGTTTGAAAACCGCCATAGCAGAGTGATTCCTTGATTTTGTGAATCCTAAATGCAGAGGCGCCTCCAACAAAGAAATTGGTTCGATGTTTGTGGGCTTATACGCGCCGTTCAACCGCATACTGGTATTGCCTTTGAGTTTTGGTTCAATCCAAAGAAAAGTATTTGACAAGGGCGGACAGAGCAGGTATAATTTGTTGGCAATTGCAATTTGTTTGTCAAGTCCTCCTGCTTTGTTCACAGGTCGGAAACGGATTTTCGTGTGCACTTATCTGCAATGTTTGGATGAGTCAAAAAAGACATGTTCAGGGCGTGCCTGGATCAGGACATTTGCCACAAAATCCCAAGGGGTGGTTCATGTGCAGATCATTTATTCACATATTCATGCTTTCCTTCTTGGCACGTATATGTATACGGCGGCAACTGCTCAATATGGCAGATGGAAGTCATCAACAGAAAGTCTACTTTGTCTTGAAGAACTATTCCCTCATCTCACGACAGGTTTCCACGACAATCAGCCCTTGCCCAATACCCCCAGCTTCAAAATCCGCACCCAGGAGATTTTGCCCCAGACGAATCCGCCCTGGAGTCACTTTTCATGATTAGATAAAGGGCTTGCCCAAACATGAGACTTCTGTTGGGAAATACGGGGAAAACAATGTATCTGGTTGGTGCTTTCAAACGTTTTTATGTTCCATAGTTTATATATATATATATGGGATCATCCTTCCCATTGACTTTCATATTTTTCAAGATGGTTAAAAGCACCTGCTGCAGGTATAATCAGGAATCGGAATCAGTGGGAAACAAGGGTTGAAACCACTGGATTTTGGATGATTTTGGGGCGCCCCATCTTCAGACTAATCTAAATTATAACGACCTCACTGCGACCGAACCCTGGAATCATGGTTAATAAGGAAAATCATCCCAAAATGACCTTAATTCAGGTTAGTGAATTATTATAATTTGCCCAGATGTATTGTAATTGAACATGATTCCAAGATCGCACGCTGCTGGTAAAGATAGTTTCAACCTGGCAGGTCCTAGTCTGCGGACTAAGCATATCATATCCCAAAAAGGATTTATATACCAGTAGCATTTACTCAACAGGTAGGAGCAGACAAAAAACATCAATGCAACATGTAGTGTTGCAGAAGAATATAAAAATGTAGATAAATAATCGCAAGCACATGAATATGATTAAATAAATAAATAAATATATATATATATATAATATTATTATATTATATTATATACAGCATTTACAGATATAAATTATATATATAATGTATTTATATATATACATTGTGTGTTTACAGAAACATTATCCCCATTATTGTAGACGTACACATGTGAATATGTCAATGTTAAGTATATTAACTACATTTTGTTTTTGAAACACCAAAATACATCATTTGGATACACACGTATACATGTCTCCAGCGCAACGCATAATGTTTTTCGGAATATGTCATCGGACAATGAAAGGAACATACCAGCCTGTTGTTTAGTGTTTTTGTGTGTTTTCCGGTGTATATAGCTTATCACATACTAGCAGCATGTGAGAAACAATGACCTATTCACAGAAGATGGAACATTTACAACCACTATATTTAATGGTACCGTAAGAACCATGTCTTCCGGCTGACCGAACCCACCGAATAAAACTAATCCAATATAGCTTTTGAACATGACCCTTTTTATAGTCATTATTTCACCGATTTATCTCGGTATATCCCACTATATCCCATTGAATCCCACCATTCTTGTTGCTTTCAATCAGTTGTTCTTGATCAATATTTTTTGGTTAACAATTATATATATTGACAAAACAGTTAATGACACCATAATGACATCATTTAATGGCTAAACCATGTTTGATCACCTAATTCCAAAGCTAGTTAAAGTTACCCGTGCATCCTTTCCTAGCATCTCATACAAAAAATGTTCCCATGATATTCCGACTTGTGGTGAGAAAATCACAATTAAACAATCTTAAGCCCATGAATTTCCATTACATTCCATCTATTCTAACATCCTGGCACATCTCATGTTTTGGACCTAAAAATCCATGAGTTTCCTGTAAGGTGGCAAGCGCAATAATAAACCACCCCCAATGCAGGTTTATGAAATTGGGTATATTCCTTAGAAATGAGATGATGTGTTTGCTAACAAATATACAGGTGTCCTATGATGATGTTATATTTGAATATA